GTAGTATTGTACTTATCTGTATATTAAATACTATATTATTTTTAGGTGGTTATTTACTAGACTTTTCATTGTTATTGTATTTATTACAAGAAATTGATTACGATGGTTCAATTATTAGCCAACTTGAGATATTTTCTAATCCATTAATAGAAGGACTTTTCTCTGGTTTAGCTTTAGGTATTAAGTCATGTGTAATGGTATTTGTTTTTATATGAGTTAGAGCTTCTTTCCCTAGAATACGTTTTGATCAGTTAATGTTATTCTCTTGAACTATTTTACTGCCGATAGTTATAGCTTTCATTGTAATTGTACCTTGTATTATTTACAGTTTTGATATAATACCAAGTAACGTAGCTTTATTCTAAGGGTTTATAATTTATATTATTATACCTAAAAAAAAGTTATGTCCAAATTTTTCCTATATGCACAATCTCTTTAGTGTATCTACCCTTACTTATTTGCAAAATAAGATTTATTTTATGTTTTGAGGTCTAAATATTTCTTTTATGTGAGATTTATATATTTTGAATGAAACCTTTACTAACGGTTTAAATCACGGTTTATTATTTTTTGCCTCACTAGCTTCTATATTTTGTGGTATTTTTGTTATTGTTAGCAAAAATCCTATAGTTTCAGTCTTATTTTTAATAGGACTATTTTTAAATATAGCAGGTTATCTAATGTTGTTAGGAATAAATTTTATAGGTTTATCTTACTTATTAGTATACGTGGGAGCAGTATCTATTTTATTTTTATTTATCCTAATGTTAATTAATGTAAGAATATCTGAACTTACTACTGATAATAGTAACAGTATTCCATTAGCTATAATGACTGGGATTTATTTCAATGTAACACTATCCGAACTGTTACCTACAGATATAAGTCGAATATTAAAGGCACATAAAGATTACAAGCCGGAAGTCTTAAATAGTATACCTTTTTTGACTGATAACACTACTATAAGTCTAAAGGATTTAAGTACTTTAAGTTCGAACAATTACATATCATTTGTTAGTTCACATTTATGGGACGGTGCCTTGTCTGAAACATCTCACATTTCAAGTATTGGTAATATTATATACACTAGTTACCCATTATGATTAATAATAACATCCATAATTTTATTACTAGCTATGGTAGGAGCTATCGTTATAACGATTAAGCAAAAAGAATATAGATTAAGAGGAGGTAGTGAAAATGTTGCAATGTAATATAATATAATGAAAATGGAAATGCTTATAAACTTAATATATACTATACAGCCGACTATTGGGAATTTAATAGATTTAAATTATTTGGTACATTGAAATTA